AAACAAAACAGGAAAAAAGAAAGACAAGAAAAAAACTACCCAAGAACTTCAAAGCCATCAAGTAAGGCGAGCTACAGAAATCCCCGGGACACATGGAACTGAGTGCTAAAAGCGGAAAGGCCTCCACTCTGCCAGGCTGGCAAATCCGGCTGCACGGTTTGAAGCCAGCAGGGAAACGAGGGCAGGAGACTCTGCTCCTCTGGCGCACGGTTTCTGGAAAGCCAGGCGGAGTGTTTGCTGAGGGTGACCTATTTGGAGCCACCCCAGCCGCCTCTGCAGGGCTGCGCGCTGATCTCCAGAGGACACATGCTCAGATTCTCGTCTAGCAGAGGAGCGAGGTGAAAAGTGCAGCTCTGCTCGGGCTGGCGTGGATTCTGTGGACCCCCAAAGCACAGGCTGCCCCTCCAGCCTCTGGTAACTGCCCAGGTCTCCTCGGCAGAGCAAGGCCTCTCCCGACTCTTAGGTCTGGCTGGGGTTTCGGGCGGTTCCACGACTCCATGGCTCATTAGAAAAGTACAAAGACGGCTGGGGATTTGTCCAAGAGCACCTCTGTGCCGGCTCCCTCCTTTCCTCCCCTTTCCTCTCCTCCTGCCTTCCCTTCCTCCTCTCCCAACTACCCCCCAAGATATCAGTCCCAGGATGAGCCTATCGTGAACAAAGTTCTTTGTTTCCACTGTGTTCTCTGGGTCGATTGCTCACAGAGAGGATGGATGCACAGTCACCAATCCCAGCCAGGACCTTTCCTGAACTGGCGCACAAACTGTCCTCACAGAAGTGTGAGAGAGACAGACCACTTCTGATCCCACTTCCGGTCACTCAAAGCTCCCCGTGTTAAAGATCTAGGTTAAAAAAGTGAAATTAAACCAGGCTTGTAATCCCAGCACTTGCGAGGCTGAGGCAGGAGGATCACTGTGAGTTAGAGGCCAGCCTGGGCTACATAGTGAGGTCAAGGCCAGCCTGCACTGCATAGTGAGACCCTGCCTAAAAAACAAAACAAAACAAAAACAAAACAAAACAAAAAACTAAAGCAAAACAACTGAAGTCCTCTTCACTGCTGGGGGCAAGTGATGAATCCTAAGTGTTGCCTCAGTATCCTATTGAAGGGAAGGGGGTCCTATTGGGACAACAGTTGCATGGTCCTGGTGAACCTAGAAACTGAAAGGATTTTGCCCTAGATAGGATACTACAGCAGTGGGAGGTGGAACCAAGGGGCTTTACCTTGAGGTCGTCTATCCCACCCCTAGGCATTATCTGTGGCTTGAAATGAATTCCAATGGGCTACTTGTGCATCAGTAATGCCCTAAGGGCACCACCCCAGACCAAAGCTATATGTATGCCCCCCACAGCACGTGTCCAGCAGAGAAAGCCAGGCCCGGTGGTGATGGAGTTTCTCTCCACATCCTTAAAATAAAAGCTACTTTTACTTTATATTTTCTATCTTTATCTTACTTTATCTTTTCTATCTTTCTAGCCACGCCAAAAACTCAAAAACCCTATTAAAAACTTCCCATCCGAGAGGGTAGCATCATTGGCAAGGGCCAGGGTACTCCTGCCTCCCTTTCCCCACAAATGCCCACTGGCTCTGCCCCTGGCACCAGTTTTCAAGACTGGCAAATCCCTGAAGCTCCCTGGGCTAGCAGGGGAGCAGGTGGGATACACATCTCTGTTGATTCAAAACCTCGAGGACTCAGTCTCACGCCCTCTCTTCCCAGCCTTATGTCTGTGCATTTCTTGAAACTGATACATAAAAATTGCTCAGATTAAAACTGTGTGAGTCGGGTGTGGTGGTGCATGCTTATAATCCCAGCATTCCTCGAGGCTGAGGCAGGAGAATTTCAAGACTGAGCCTAGCCTGGGCAACTTAGTGACACTCTGTCTCAAAAAATTACATAAAATGCTGGAGACAGAGCTTGGGGCAAAGGCCCTGGGTTCAAGCCCCAGTACCGTGTGCACACCCACACACTGGGTTACACATCAGAAGGTGGCAATGTAATGGTCTTGCACCTGCACACACTGTGAGACGGTCAAACCAGTGAGTAAGTGCTCACCGCATCTTCACAGCGAGGACCTCTGGTATCTTTACCTCAGTGTTCAGGATGCAGAGTGATAGTGCTTTTCTACGGCCACTTTCCCTAGCGACAGAACACTGGACCGCACGTCTGTCCCGAGGCTGCCCGCCGCCAGGTGAGAGTGCCCCGCTTCAGGGTCCGAGGGCCCTGCCCACAGCTGCGCTCCTGCCCACACCTGCCGTCTCATTTTAGTTTCTGCAATACCACATGTTTAGCTTTCCATTTTCTAACTTCTAACATTGGGTGTTAAGCAGTTAACAGTTTTTTCTTTTAAAAGACACAATTTCCACACATCTTTCCAAGCAAACAAACCGGAAGTGAGAAGAAAGCCTTGCTAGGTAATAAATAAATACAACCCCACCCCAGGGATTCCAAACAGGAAGCCCGCCTGCTTCCTGCCTGCTTCTTCTCCATCCTTGAGGATGTGACACAGGACCGGCGCTTCAGAGGACTCCCTGGTAGCGTCTGCAGTGGAGCTGCAAAAACGTAAACTCACATAGGCTGTGCCTGCTGCCCACCAGCCAATCATGATGATTCTTTGAATTATGGCTGCGTGTTGTTGTCATGGGGACAGCTGGGAGACGAATCCCATAATGCCCACCACCTTTGCCCAGGGTCTGGCTGCTAGGCGTGAGTGGTGCCACCGAGCTGCCCCCAACCTCCACCTGCATTTTACTGGTCCGAGGCAGTGGTGCCTCACACTCAGCTTTTCCTGCAACTCTCACCACTGGCCACCTTCAGGACTCATCTTGCAAAACTGAAAGTCGACTCCTTGAACAACTACTTCCCCCTCTCCGGCCAGATCTGTCTCTGTGAATTTGATCATACTCTAATGACTGCTTCCTTGAAGCAGAACTAGACCTGGCACATGTCAATGAGCCTAAGGTTCTTCAAAGCATGTCCATGTTGGAGTGCTTGTTAGAATCACTTTCCTTATTGATGTTGAGTAATATTTCATGGTAAGGACATACCACACTTTATTTGTTCAACCCTGATGAACTCTTGGGTTGCTTCTCATTCATGGCTGCTGCAAATAATAATCCACAACACTTTGATTCAGACTCCCAGATGCCTGGGCCTTAGCACCTTCAGATCAAGGCCTATGGGTCTGAATTTTGGCAAGCTGCTGCAGCGTCTACAGGTAGGCTGTGGAAACATAAGTTCACACACTGCCTGGGGGTGTCTTGGCGTTGGGTCTTCCATGAGGCACCTCTTAGGTCAGGCTCTCTAAGCGGGCATCCCAGGGGCCATCCTTCCCTTATTTGTGTGGTCCATTAAGCATCTGTCTTCTGAAATTGGGCCAGGCCTCTGGGGTGAGTGGGACTGGACATGGCCTGGCCATTGTTTTGCTTTGCCCAGATTTGGTGCCCTCTTTGGGAGGTGGACTTCCTACCCCTCTTGGTGCTTGGGCCTCTGGAGCCCTAGCGAGGCCTGTCTGCCTGGGCACCTCTCTTCAGGCAGAAGGCCAGCACCTGGCCTGAGCGTCACTCTGGGGGGCCTGTGCCTTTCAACATGGAGTGGACACTTTTTAAACCAAGCCTGTGCATTTACAGAGTGACACCAGGCCGGTCTGAGGTTGAGGGAAAGTCCTGCTTCATGGCGGCACTGGGACTTTGAGGCCAGCGCTGGGGAATTCTCCTGGGCTGTGGGGCTGAGTGACCGGGATAACAGATGCACGGGCGCAGCTCTGCACACGAGCAGAGGAAGCGGCAGCAGTGAATGCTGGTCTCACCTCCTCTGTCTCCCTCAGCTCCCTCCCTTCCTTTCTTGTTTCTGGCTTTTTTTTGAGACAGGATTGTGCTATATAGCCCAGGCTGGCCCCGAAGTCACGGCAGTCCTCCTACTTCAGCCTCCTGAGACTGGGGATGATAGGCACACGCCCAGCTCCCCTTCATTTCTGCAGTTCAGCTTTCGGTCTTTGTTTCCCTTTGGTATTTGTCTTTCTCCCTCTTTTCTCCCCTGCCTGTTCCCTGTCAACACTTTCTTTTATTTTGGCCTATCTTTGCCGTCAAAGCTATTTGTTTTGTGCTGTTTTGATGAATGCAGCAAACAAAATTCAGACTTTCTGTGCTTGGCCTGCAAGTGGCCTGGTTTCCGAATTCCTAGCATGAGCACTGCGTGTCCTTTGGCACGTGTGAATGGTACACAGGGACTTGGAAGCCTAGCTCCGAGTTCACGCTTCTGCAGTCAGAGTGTGGGTAACTAGTGACCTGCATAATTCTGAGTGGGAGACTTCACTGCCTGTGCCTGTGGGGTCTTGTAGCCACCCAGCCCGCAGGCCCCTGGCAAGCAGCCCCGCACCATGCATGAGGGCCGAAAGGCCACAAACCGGCTCAGTTACAGCGCTCACAGCAAAACTGGAAAGGGAAACGTAAAAACGTAAAAAGTGAGGTTACAGGCCAGTGTGTGATCCCAGCACTGGGCAGGCTGAGGCAGGAGGACTGCCATGAGTTCGAGGCCAGCCTGGGCTCCACAGTGAGTCCAAGGACAGCTGGAACTGCATAGCAAGATCCTGTCTCAAGAAAACAAACCAATGGACAAATAAACAACACAAAAGGAAGCAAGGTTATAGATTTCCATGTCACCGTGAAGGCCTCTTTGGTAGTGTGTGGCTGGGCCTGTTTTTATTAGCTGTAAGCTGTTTCTCACAGTAGGGTTCTTTCATTAGCTTGGAAATAGACGGGTCCCATGCAGCTTGGGCGACTGCACATGCCAGCAGAGACAGGTGTGGAAGTGTGTTCCTCCCCAGTGAGGGTGCATGGGGAGCACGAGAAACACGTCTCGGAGCAGGAAAATCCAAATGTAAACATCATACGTGCACATTCGCCCTCCTCCCCCACCCATCCTCCTCCCCTGTGATTCTCCGGTCCTCAAATACACTTTCACATGATAAAAAAGACACTATCGAAATTATAGGACAATTAAACTTACCATTGTTGTAAGAGCGAAAATTTCCTACAAATTTTATGTATTCATAAGTTGGAAATTCCTTTGGGTTCAAGCTGCCTCTGAGAAGGTGGCAATAAAACTCTAAATCGTTGTCAGCTGGGCCGTTACGGGGAGAAGAGGAGAGAAGGGAGAGGAACATTACCCAGACTGCAGACTGAACCCGCCCCTGCACACCCCGGCAGCCCGGGTACAGCCTGGCCTGCAGGTTTCTCTCAGGACCCGCTGACTTCCGACCTTGGCTTCTCACCTTTGCAGCAGCATTTTAAAAATTTTTTCCATAGCTCATGCATTCTGTGTTCTATACTTGCACCCAATTAGGCTTGATTTGCTCACAGATGTCTGTGGTGGGTGATGTGGGCAGGGATTAGTTCCGGCTGTTTCCTAGGGTATGTTAAAATAAAGCTGCCCATAGAGAGCCCTTCCCTTAATTTAGTCTTTTGACTTTGCTCTGAAGTCAAATCAGATATACGACAGGGCAAATTATTCATGGGAAACAGATTGGGGCCTGAAAACAGCCCAGCGTCCTTGCTCTGCCTGCGACACTCCCTGCTTCACTGAGCAACACGGTTCACTGACACGAAGGCTGCCTCCTCAGCAGGCCACCAGATATTTGGATAAAGACTTCAAGCACCGGTAAAACTGAAGAGGAACATAAATAACCAGATGGCAGCCTCAGGAGGACAGAACTGGAGTTCCTGGCCTAATTATTCAATCATCAGTCAGCTACTTGGTGTTACACAAACGTAGCATTTTAGGGTTCCCGGAAATAGCTAACTTATTTTTCACTGATTCTCAGGCTGTTTATCACTAAAAGCCTTTAATGGAAAAAAAGAGTCTCATCATACATGCAAAACAAGTCATTATCCTTAAACTCCACACTTTCAAATTTTCCAAATAAAAGCTGAATGCCTTACGTATTCTGAGCTCCCGTTTTAGCTCTGAACCTAAAATACAGCCTGAACGATCTTGGAAATGTTCTGAGTCACGGGGAAAATTAGCCCTCCCTGCTTAATTCATCCTAGCTTCTTTCAGAAGTAGAACCCTTGTCTGTTTAGATCTGGTAAACCCCTCGACGTGCAGCTTACATTTTAGGAACTCCGGGGAGGGGGCCTCGTTCAGAAGCATAGGAGAGGAGAGCATTTTATAAACTTCAGAATGCTCCTGTTCCGGGAGGAAATTCAACAAATTCTGGTCCATGACGTCCGACTGTAAATGAAAAGAAAGAGCGAAAGTGCCCATCCCACGGAAAGGACTGATGGAAGTGAGGGTAAAACCGGCACGTGCTGGGCAGCTCAGGACCGTTTCTGAAACAGGAAGCCTGAGATCCGAATCTGAATCCTGAACAGAATCTACAAGGTTTTCCAAGGTCAGAGGCAGGGCACTGGAGCCAGAGTCACATGTCTGAGGCCCTCGGGCCCTTCCCCAGCACCTTGAAACAAGTCAGTAAAATAGAAACACAAATACAAGGATTTATAGCTGTGCCTGGTCCTCTTGGCTGCTTCAGAGTCTCACCCTCGACACAGCCAGTGGCTGTCACCCACTACTGCTTCGGGGATAATGACAAGAAGCAGGTTTACACCCATCCAGCAAACACACGCTTCCCCTCCCAAACATTTTTAGTCTATGGTTGGTTGAGTCTCTGGATGGGGAACCGGGGGACAGAGGGGGTCTCCTGTACTTGCTCAAGTGCTTCCAAGAACTCAGGGCCGAGCCTGACAGGCACAGGACAACAGAGACCCCGCTGGCTACAGGAGCCCCGCATTCCCTGGGGGGGTGGAGGTTGAGCCCCCAGAGCTGCCAAGCGCTCATCCGAGTGCATGCAAGAGTCCCTTCCTCGACCTTCAGGGCCGCACTGGGCATCTACTGCTTTCTTGAAGGTGGCCAGTGGGTGCAGCTGCCCTTTTTCCCTCAACGCCTGGACACAGGTAAACCAAGAAAATGAGACAGAATCTGGACACAGTGCTGCCCCAGAGGAGAGGGATGGGCTCTGACCAGAGCTGGGCAGGGGCCTCTGGCTACCTGAGGCCAAAGAACTTAAGTTTCCTTTTCATTTAATTTACACTGAAATCTGAGTAGCCATGTGTGGCTGGCAGCTACCATCCCAGAGAGGACAGAGAGGACTCACTATGGAGAGGGGAGACAGGCGTGTCGCTCCCTGCCTCAGTTTCTTTCAGCAGACTTAAATGCCCCCACAAGCTTCAAACACCACCCGTATACACTCAGATGCTTGGGTTCAACTCTGAGTCACACATGGCCCCTATGTCACTGCTGATCCCATGCATACCCTCTCTGTATCCCAGGTCCCCATCTGTAACGGTGGCATGGTGATCAGTCCACTGGCTACGATCCACACCATACCCGCAGGGGGCACCCTTGGCTCCTCTCTCCCACCCTGTCCCCTCTCCACCTGGTCTGTTTCCATGGCTCTGCTCCTGTGGGGACCACAGCCCCCCACACCTCCTCCCTCCCCTCCACTGTCACAGCTGCAGCTGGCTGCTGAGCCCGAAAGCAGCCCCTCTGCCGGGACAGCGGCAGCCTCAGAGTCGGAGGGCAGCCCCATCACCTCAACGCGATGTTCAGGTACCGGCTCCGCCAGTGATAAGTGGCCCAGGGTCTTCATTCTGAGCTGTATCCTCAGCCCATTTTTTTTTTTTTTTTTGTCTTTTTCCTTTTTATCGGTACCGGGGATCGAACTCACGACTGCCTGCTTGCAAGGCAGGTACTTATGCCGCTGAGCTAAATCCGCAGCCCCCCCCCCTTTTTTATGTTCTTAAATCTGACCAATTTGCTAGTTTGCTAATTTGCCCCGGCTGAGCTCAAACTTGTAATCCTCCTGACTCAGCCTCCCAGATTGCTGGGGTTGCAGGCTGTGCCACTATGCCGGGCTCTGCAGTGGCATTTTCTTGTTCCCCAATGAGCTGACTTGTGTCTCTGACTCTTCACTCCTGAGCCTCGAGTACCTAGTGTCCCTGATGTCCTCAGGATGACTTTGGTCATCAAGGGCAGTGACTGGCTGAGAAAGGCAAGGCCAGCAAAGCACGGCTCTCACCCAGCGGTGCGGAGGGGGCTGCGTTGTCTGCTGGGTGGGGAGGGGCTCCTGAGGACGGATTCCCAGAGGGAGGAGCCTTGGGCGGGGTGTCAGGGACCGTGTGCTCTTTGACTTAGGGCAGTTACAGTGAGGAGCAGCTTCACTGGGCTTTAGGGTGATTCCACAAAGGTCTGATGAGAGGCCCGGGGAGCCAGGCTAGAGACCACAGGGAGAACGAGACAGTCAGGAGCAGGCGGAGTAAGCACAGTTCCAGCTTCTATCCAGACATCTCCCTGAAACCTTGGGCACCCCAGGGGGGCTCTTGGGAGACAACTGCATTATGGGCATTTCCGGCTGGTTTGCTGCTGGGAAATGGGGTCTGGCTGGGAAGAGGCAGTCACCGGGGGTGTGGCCTGGAAGGGGGTACCCCCACCCTGCTCCCTTCTTTCCCTGCTTCCTGCCACTGGGACACCTGCAGCTTCTCTTCTGACACTGCCTCTTGCAATACCACCCTGCCTTGGAGCCACCCAAGCATGCACTGAACCTCTACAAACTGTGAACTGAAACAAACCTTTCTTCCTTCTTGTTGTGGGTGTCAGGTATTTGGTCTCAGAGACGAGAAAGTGACTGAGACAAGAACAGAGTCCAAAGCAGTCATCATCACACACTCCAACCAGTACCATGCAGGGCTCTGAAGTGCCAGGCGCTGCTTGGGTAGCACAGAGCCAGCAAAGCCCTGGACACCTGGCCTCAGCATCTCTGGGGGTGAGGATGGGCCACAGTGACTGGTGGGCAGGAGAAGGGAGGAGGCCCAGGCTGATTTAGCCGGGAGGGGTGTGTGCAGTTATCTCCATGGACAACTCTAGCGATCCCATCACAGCTCAGCCTGCTTCTCCACCTTCCTTTTGAGCCCTTGATTTTAAGCCCATTTCTTCTAGCTTTTTTAGCAGTTGACTAATGTTCTAGGATGACAGTTGGCTTCCTTCTTAAAGAGATTTCAGACACTAGCTGATAACTAAATCGCTCCAAGGTCTTTTCTTGCAGGCTGCAGTGGAGGCTGCTTCCCCAAGGGGGGCAGCAGGGAACGAGGCTGGAGGCCCCTTGGCCTGGTGGCCCCTGGAAGGCAGCTGTGCGCAGGTAAGTTAATCCACAGGGCCCAGAACCATGCTTGGCTCCAGTCTGACTATTCTGCCACTTCTTCGTGCTGAAAACTGCCACATACAGTGACAAACTGGCAGTTTAAACCCTAGTGCTGATCGGAGCATAACTGACATCTGCAGCTGAACTGTTCCTTGAATGAGCTGAGCTCTGTTGAGTAACAGCAATTATGGGCATGGGGTGGGGCGGTGCCACCTGCAGCAGCTGTGTCAGTATCAGCAGCTTTGCTCACCTGTCCCAGGCTCAGGAGGAGGCTTGGTCCTCAGCTGTCCCAGGCTGCAGTATGCAGGAGCCAGCCCTCTGCCCAGTTGGCCTAGGCAGCCCGCCCTGCTTCCGTACCATCCCTCCACATTTCCCCCATGTGGAGCCTCGGTTCCCCAAGCAGGAGCCGCCAACCAGCAACACCAGGTCAAGGGCACCAGCAGGGGAAGGGGGCTGTAACAGAAGCCCAGGGAAGGCCAGGTGCAACAGTGCGTGCCTGCGATCCCAGCAGTCTGGGAAGCTGAGGCAGGAGGATGGTACGTTGGAGCTCACCCTGAGCAATTTAGAGACACCCTCTCCCAACACAAAAAATAAAAAAGGGCTGGAGGTGCAGCTCAGTGAGAGGATCCTGGGTTCTGTTTTCAGTACACCACACCCACACACACACACACACACACACACACACACACACACACAGAGGCACACAAAAACAGGGTATCTGGGTGGACACTCAGTCCTGGAAGGTTCCCGAGGGGCCAGCAGTTCTCTAGAGTCAGTTTGCTAAGCAATGCTTGCGATGCCCATTGGGAACGACAGGGACCCGAGACTTCCCCTGGGTTGGGGGCAGAGACTGCAGCACACTCCTGTGGTGGAATCTAACACAGGAGAGCTCTGCACTGTGAGGGAACTGGGACCATGGCATGGGGTGTCGGGAGGTGGGCGAATCTCATCAACAGGCTGGGCATAGGAGCGGTCCCAAGGGCATCTCCGCGATGGAAGAGGACTTCTGTGGTGCTAGGCAAAGCACCCCTAATGCAAAAACCCACCATCCAGAGCTTCTGGAGGTGGGCTCAATGCTACAAGGGGAAGATTCCACAGCAGGAAGCTGCTACATGCACAAAATTCTTAAAGGTAGTATACAGAGTGCGTGTGCAGGCTGTACGTGTGCAGGCTGTGTGTGTGCAAGCTGTGAGTGTGCAAGGTGTCTAGGAAACATAAACGCATTTTGTGTGGAGATATGGGTGCCACCCCCAAGGTAGCTCATGATGCAAATGTAGGCAAACATCCTGGTAGCTGAGGAATCCCAAATCTAAAACACTTCTGGTTCAGAGCACTTTGGATAAGGGATATTTAGACCCCTCGTAAATTACAGCTTGGTGATTAGCTTAAAGTTGGTAAAATGACAAAGACAGACGATTTTAAAAATCAGGAAAACAGATCCCCCTGTCAGTGGCAGGAGCATGGAGGTAGAAGATAATGGGAAAAAGTGGAGGTGAACCTCCACGGTCTCTGCCCTGTTTATTTTTCTTTTTAATCTTCCTTTTCTCTGCCCTCCCCCCACCATGTACTGATGTAAGGCCTTTGTATACTGAGAAACACTCCTAATCCTTTTTAATTTTGTGATGGGAGTCCCACTAAGTTGCTAAGCTGCCCCGGTACTGGGCTCAAACTCTCACCCTCCTGCCTCCGCCCCCCAGAGTGCTGGGGTGAGACATGTGTGCCGCCATGCCCAGCTTGGCTCGCTTCTGCTTTCTAATCATAGTGATGATTTGCCTGCTTGTTCTGTCTTAGCCATTAAATTAAATACTGCGCATGTTTTATGCACACATCTGAATGTATGTACATAAAAATCAGAAAGCATAAAAAAATCTGTGTAAAACTAGAGACCTGACCTGGACTCCTCTAATCCATGACACACGCGGCTAGTCCTGCCCTGCCCTGGAGCCACTGAGAAACACCTGGACCAGGCGGGGTCTTCAGCGGTAGGAGAAGGCTGGGGAGAGAAGGGCTGAGGGCTGTTTCTGTTTGTTTGTTTTGTTTTATTTTTGAGCCAGGTCTCACTATGTAGTTCTTGCTGTCCTTGAACTCACTTTGCAGCCCACAATGGCCTCAAACTCGAAGCAATCCTCCTGCCCCAGCCTCCTGAGGGCTGGGATTACAGGTGTATGCCATCACACCGAGCTCTGCATTTTACGGTAAGGTAAGCCACGGGCTCTGTCCTCCCTTTTCCGTGACCTGTTTCCCTGCTAGTCCCTGCCTGGCCTCAGATCCCCTCTGAGGTTGCCCTTTGTCCTCCAGGGAACTTTCCCAAGCCCTTTTGTGTATGTGTCCTGTGGCCTGCAGGTCTCTGCAAATGCTCCTACCGTAGGTCGCTTCCTTCTGGGGGACTTGGTCCATCCATGTGCCCACTTCTCACCACCACACTGTGTTGAGCCTGTGGCCCCCCAGACACACATGCACCCCTTGAGAGCATCCTCTTGCCTTGACCTCCCAGGTGCCCAGAAAGGCAGAGGAACAGTGCTGACTTGGCCCTAAAATCCCTCTCTGCTTTGAGTTAGTTTTCTTCCTTTTCCCTGTCAGATGAGCAGACAAAAGCTCTGAGGTCGCACAGGTAGGAATGTGGCCACACCTCAAGTGCTCTCATGGCTGAGGTTGCAATCACTGAGGAGGAAGGGGACCTCAGCCTGCTGCCACCCTGGGGTCCCTGTGGGGGTGATGCCCACAGGCCTGTGCTGCTTTCTGTCCTGTCCCGGATGGGTCCCTGACAGCCAGCCTGGTCCACACAGCCTGACCCCTGGCTCTCAGCCCCTCCTTTCTGTGGCCCACCCGCCGTCCTCCCCACTCTTCTCTGTCCCCTGGAGAATTCTGCGTGGCACCTCAGGACCCAGCTCTGGAGCCTCTGGAACTGAGTTCAGACTGCGGCCCAGTCCTATCTGGCTGGTTACTCTCTGTGCTGGCTGCTGTTTCCTCACCTGTACCAGGGGTGATGATCACCTCATGGGTCATGGGGAGGGTCCATAGGACAGCAAGTGTGACCTGGCCTCACAGCGCCAGGCACCTGCACAAGGCTTCAAATGCGGGAACAGGGACTATGCCCCCAGGGGTGCCTGGCGCACAGTAGGCGCACAGGAGGTGGAATCTCACAAAATGGAAAACCAGGAAGGAAAGGCAAACTTTTTTTTCCTCTCTCTAGCACCGGGGCTTGGATCCAGGGCTTTCACACTGCGCTATATCTCTGGCCATTTTTAATTCCTTACTATAAAACAAGGTCTCACTAAGTTGCTAAATTGCCTCCAATTTGCGGTCCTCCTGCCTCAGCCTTGTGGAGTGCTAGGATTACAGGTCAGCACCACAAAGCCCAGCCTGCAATTCCGTTTAAAACACAGCTGGCTCTGCAGGGAGGTGCTAGGCTCATCCTGAGGAATGAGTCAGTATCAACTGACACAGGCAGCACTGCTGAGCTCTGAGCTGGACCCCAGCTTGGCAGTGGGGTCTGGCAGGGATGGCTGGGCTGGGGGTGCCAGAGAGGGAGGAGAGAGCAGCTCATTGCTGTCACCCACCAGTGCTGTTCCTGGGATTGGGATCACGGGTGCTCATGGCCAGGCTCTGCAGGAAAACGTGATGGAATTGCAGGGGAAGGAAGCAGAAGGCAGGGCAGGAGCCTGTGAGGGACCCTTAGAGGTGGGTCCTCTGCTGTCCTGCTGGCTGTCTGTGAATTGGGGGTGTATGTGGAAAGGGGTAAGGTAGGGATGGAGAGAGGGAGGAGGGAGGTTGGAGGGAGGCAGGGGGTAAGCAGGCCAGGACATCTGTCCGCCAGGGCCTGTGACACCTCTAGCCTCCTCCATGGCTCACCCCAGCCTCCATGGCCCACCCTGGCTGCAGAGCCGCCTCCCCTCCCAGCCTGCTCCCCACATGTTCTTCCAAGCACAGGCCCGATGGTATGCTCCCAGGAACTGTCCCTGCCATGGAGGCCTTGCGACTATGCAGCATCACAACCTATCTGTGACCTTGGACACGGCTCCAGGTTTCCTGAGCTCACCCTAGTCCTGAGCCATCTCTCACCTCTTCCTCAGGTCCCCTTTCAGTTGACATGGGATATCTGGGGTCCTCTGAGTTCTGCCATGCTGTGACTCTCATGTCAGATGACAGGCTGTGCCCATGTCCCCACCAGGCTGGGCCTTGCTGAGCTCATGGTGTCATGCCTGTTCCAGGGTGTCACACCACTGCGCCTGCCTTTCATCAGAGACTCTGAGCGTGGCCCAGTCGGGTCCTCCAGGGCCCCCGGCTCCATGTCTTCCTGTCTCAGGAGACCCTGTAGCCCATAGCACCTCCCACCTAAAAGACCCCAGAAGATAACAATGTGCGCAGGAAAGCCGCTAGGGCGGGACTCACCGGCAGGTGCCCGAGGAGCGGCGTGATGCTGTCGGAGACGTACAGGATGCTGCCATCTGTCGTCACTGCGATGATGAAGCCGTCCAAAGCCTGCAGAAAATACAACATGGGAAGGTTCTTAGCAACACTTTTGTGGGGCTCACGACGCTAAAGCCAAGGACCCACTTTCTGACCTGGGCTTTGTTCTTTAATCCTCAGAGTATTTCCACGAATGGCCTCAGACCCCTCTGTCCTGCACGCAGGATGGTTTGCACAGAAATGCCCAGCCCAGAACAAATAGTTGCAAACACACTATAGGCTTGGTGGAAAAGCTAGGCCCTTGGTATCATAAATAAAATTTATCCATAGAAATTGCTTCAGTAGGTGCAGGACAGGAAGGCTGCTGTGCTGAAGCAGAAATCTCATCACCCCCCTGAGGACATCGGCGGTAGTGTACAGTCTCCTACCCTTACCCAAGATCATGTTGAGTTCAGTGGTGAGACCGAGTCAATGTCTTACAGACAGGGACCGTACCGTCGGCCGACGTGGACCCCTGCCTATGCTCACTGCCACAGGCAGCGGAGCCTCTGCAGGAGTTAACATTATCCTTGGCCTGGGAGGGGGTTTGTAACTCGGCTGGACATGTAAGTGCTCCTGAACGCCAGAGAAAACTCACTCAGGTTAAGCTATCTACCGAGCCCCTCTGTGTGCCAGCGGTAGTGTTCTGGGCATGTGCACTGTACATGGGTTAGTGTGGCCAAGGCGTCCTCATGCAGCAGGTGCTTTTGCCGTTTTCATTTTAGAATTTTTACTGGGATTTCTTCGAACTCTTTTTCCGTAAGACACCTCTTGAAGCTGCTTTCTGAAATTCAGATTCTAGCATTCAGCTGAGAAAGAGACTGTCCTGATGATGGGGAGCACCAGGGAGATGGATGGGATTAAACACGAAGCCGCCTCATCGGAAAGCCAGCCTGCTGGGGACAGCCCTGTGAGGACCCCTTGGTGGGGCGCTCAATGTGCGCCCATCACTGGTGCTTTTCTGACCCAATCCTGCAATATCATCTCCCTCAGGTCTGCAGAAAAGTAAAGTGGGTGCTTAGAGAAAGCTCCAGAAACATTTTGCTTGCCTTCCACTAGATCTTCTGGGTGTCACTGATGATATCCCTGGCCCAGGGGATGACACCTTTGCAGTTTGGAGGCTGTGACTGGACATGGGCCACTCGTTACAAATAAGGCACTGGGGTGACATGCTGTAGTGCGGGGGGGGGCTTCCACTAGGAAATCTAACGTGAGGCCAGGTTATCATTTTACACTGATGTACGTGAATCTTAAAAGGCAAAAGTGCATGAAAGCATGTTGCTTTAACCTCATCTTACAGATTGCATCACTGAGCTGGGTGTGGTGGTGCACACCTGTCATCCCATCATTGGGGAGGCTGAGGCAGGAGGGTAACTGGAAGCCGGCCTGAGCCACAGAGTGAGTTCAAGGCCAGGGTGAACTACATAGCAAGACCCTGTCTCAAGAAACAAACAAACAAACCAAACAGATTACAACAGCGGCTCTCAACTGGGGACGTCCAGTGATGTCTGCAGATATTTGTGGTTGTCATTACTGAAGCAGGTGGTGCCTCTACTGAGTAGAGGCCAGGGAAGATATAAGACAGCCCACAGTGCACAGCACACGCCCCTGTCCAAGAATAGAGTCCAAAATGTCCATCATGCCAAGGCCAAGACACTGGACTTGAACAAAAGAAGAGCTCTTCTGAGGTAGAAACCCATCAACTGGGCTTTTATTTATTTCTTTCTCAATTATTTTACTAAATTATATTCTTTTATTTTTGAATTTCAATAAATTCTTTTGTTTGTCTTTTGAGACAGGATCTCACTATGGTTTAGGCTGGCCTGGGGCCTAAAGCACAGGGTAACTTTAAACTCACGGTGATCCTCCTGCCTCACCTTCCCTAGTGCTGGGGTTACAGGTGCACACCACCAGGCCCAGATAGGAATTTTAACTGCTAACGTGAGAATATAAACACTGTATCTATTTATGAGATTCCATGTGACATTTCTTTCTTTTTTTTTTTTTTTTGTCTTTTTTCGTTTTTATCGGTACCAGGGATCGAACTCACGACTGCCTGCTTGCAAGGCAGGTGCTTATGCCGCTGAGCTAAATCCCCAGCCTCCAGCCATGTGACATTTCAATACTTGCACAGGTAGCACAACATGTAACTCTGGTTAAACTATCTGTCTCCTGAGATGGTTATCATGTCTTTAATGGCAAAATAATTCAAAATCCTTTCTCTTAGCTTTGCAAAATATACACATGCAGTATACAAGCATCTCCATAGTCAGCTTCTGGTGCAACAGTGCACGAGAACCCCCATCTCCCTTCTGGCTGTACCTCACTGTCCCTTGACTGTCCCCTTCCATCCCTCACTCTGGTCACCCCCATGCTGTTCTCTACTCTGCACCCCCAGCAGCCAAAAGATGTAAGGGATGGAGGACCATCAGTGATGTCAGCTTGACCTTTCTAGAAAAAGCAGATTGAAGGGATGGGAAAAACAGGAGTGCACAACGGCAAGCCCAGGTCCTCTTGAATTTGTCAAGCAAGTGGGTGTAAGAAGCTGGGTTTTTATGGACAGAAGCTCTTTTCTGTCCGATGGCTGGCGTATTCTGTGAAACGGATGAGAGCTGTTGGGGGGAGGATCTTATCCTGGCTCTGGAAGTCTGAGAGCAACTCCACCGTGGCTGCCACCCCACAGGTTAGGCAGGGACAGTCGTGGCCCGGAATTTTATGCCTGCACACAGCAGAGAGAAATAAAGCTCCCCTTCCCACAAGATCTCTGTGTCTGGTGCTCTTGAGATACCTCCAGACCAAGAGGACAGATAGACATGGCTCTTCTGGTTAGATTTGGCCAGCATGAGCTCTCCATGCACTGGAGCCAACTTGTTCACACACTGGGCCCTTCCACCTGGCCACGGGGGCTGGTGGGCAACCTGGGGTTTTTCTTCTTCCAAACTCCACAGCTGTGCGGGTCCTCCCGAGTCTGGTCTTGTGCCTTTCTAAGAGGTGAAGATAGGGGAAAGAAGGCTTCACACCAGAGGCACGGGGCTCCCTGGGGGCAGGATGGGTTTGCTCCCAAGTTCCATCCTTGTTGGGAAGAAGGGCTCTCTCCCGAGCCCTAGGATATGGCGTCTGTCCTCCTGACCTCTGGAACAGGATCCCTGAATCCCTGAGACTATGACCTCATTTGTGACGGGACCCTGGGGTGGGGGTGGGGGTCTCAGCCCACAGGGGAAGGGGACAGGGTGGACAGGACAGCCCTAGTCACTGACACCAGGTCTGTGTCTGTTGAAGAACAACAGGTAGGAGGAGCAACCTTGCCGGGCACCTGCTGGGGGATTACCAGCCCAGAGCTGGGATGCGCAGGCCGGAGGCCGCTGGCTGCTCAGAGCCAGTTCGCCTTTCCCCTGCATCCCCATGGCGTCTGCACTGAACAGCTGTGTGAAGACCGCAGAGACCATCCCTACAGATCTTGAAAATCTGTTTCTACAAATGCCAATCTTTTGAATCTTAGTCCGGCCCAGAAAAACATTCACATTTAACTTTATGAGAGCCTGGTTTCTTCAACTTCTTCTGCTACTTTAAAATTCATCGGATAAAGGCAAAAGGCTGTGGGTGCTATCAGTCTTAAAAAAGAATCTTGCTGCCAGGTGGTGATGTGTTCTAAGTACTTTTCCATGAGAATGGAAAGATAGATCAATGCACGTCAAGCAGCACAGGGATGCATTAATTCAACATTAGCACTCGCAAGCCTTTAAATTTAACATACTTAACATGCACTGCCTCTGCAGAAAGCTCTGTATTTTCTTTAAATATAGTTCCCATGTAGCGTTAAGTAGCTTTCATTTTATGCAAATGTTCATTAATGCATTTATATTTCATAATATTTGGACATCCTTATTCAGGCATTTTCTTATTCCAGGACTTTATGTTTTCGGCGGTATTTATATAAGCTGAAGTTCACATCAATCTGGTAAAGGTGCACAGATGAGATAGAGAAGGATCTCTGATTACCCTGCCTGGAACCACTCCCCGGCATGTGGCCAGTGATGCATGTTCTCCTGGCCCATCAACGCCAACCTCTGTCAACAGCCAGGCCAGGCAATGTCTGAAGTATTGTGTCCTCATGATCATATACGTGCCTTCTCAGGCCTCCTGCTGGAAGCTCTGTAGAGTGGCCTGCTCCCTGTCCCGAGGACTGGTGGACAATGCTGAGAGAGGCTGTTCGCCCTGAAGGCGAGGCTGCTCTGAACCTAACTCTGTAGGTAGAGTGGGCAGCAGAACCACAGGAAGGAACACAGCATCTTAGCCACTTGGATGGGATAGGCGCTCAAGGCACAAGCATGATTTTAATGGATTTGTATTCCAATGTTTCTGTGAAGGGGAAAATACAACCCCTGAACCCTAAAGTGGAGACTCTGGGATGAACGGCAAGTGGGGAACATACGGCTGCCCCTCCCTCCTTCCCTTCTGTTACTGCTTCTGCTCTGCCCCTCCCCATCATTGGGGCCCACAGAGCCCCTGTATCCACAGCCCATTCCGTTTGGGAATTGTGCTATCTCCTGGGACAGGAGCTGTTTGCAGCTCCTCACAGCCTTCTAAGGTCAAGGACTGTGGTTTCCTTTGGGCACAGGGCTTATCAGGGACAATTTAACTTGCATCCGATTAAACTAATCTGAAAGGGCATTCACCTCCAACATCAGCTGAGTGAATTCTTCATTGCTAAGGAACGAAGGCTTCCAGTCTTGCTGAATGTCACAGATTTCCGTTTGTGCCGAGACTTCTAAAAACAAAGCAAAACATAAAGAAGCTTTTATGTCCAAGGGCACCTAGAAACTGGCATGAACAACTACCACATGTTTGCTTCTATGTTATTTTGTGTAAGCTCTGTGCAATTTAATCAAAGAAGCCAATACAAGAAAATATGTTACCCTGATTTCCAGGAACTGGGAACCCTGGGCATCAAGGGTTTAAAAACACTTTTGATTGTCTCATGTACTTTGAGTGAAGTCTCTGGGAAGAGAAACCCCTGCTCTCAGCCTGGGGTAGTGCCTGGCACTTGCAGGAGGCACCGTGTCCTTCCAGTCATGCAGATGCCACTTATCAAGGCAACATGAAGAAAGACTGGGCTGGTGGGCACCCTCTCAAGCTGCTTCTTCACAGTCAAGGCTAAGAAAAACACTTAGAAATCTCGGGTTTTCAAAATTCCAAGGGCTACAAGTGTAGCCTAACATACAGCTGGTATAGCTCATGCTTTGCATGTGTAAGGCCTTGGGTCTGCTCTCCTCTGTACTTCAAGCAAAAGAGGAAGGGAACAGAAATGGAAGGGTGCAGGGAAGGGGGAGGAAATGGGAAGAGAAAAGGGAAGAGGAGGAGGATAGAAAGAGGAGGAGGAGGAGGAGGAGGAGGAGAAATACCCTCCAAAATTCCACAAACATCTAGGTTTACAGTAAATATCTCACTGTGTCATGCAGGACCTAACAGATTTTTCAGCACTTACAGTGCTGAATTATAACGTGCAATAAAAGCACACATTGCTTACTTATTTTAAGGACCACATTTACTCTTCTCAGGACTTTCTAGGGTCAAACTATATCCACATGATGTAAGCGTCCTGCACTGGCGACCTTAGTCACATCTGTCCACTGAGTAATCATTGGCCTGCACCGGACCCCTTACATCTTCCGGCTTGTTCACAACTTTCAGAACATGTTTGTTTCAGTGTGAAGTTACTGTTGATAAGGTTACAACAGATAGCATAAATGTGGTATCTTGTACATTTGGGATTTTTTTGCCTGTTTATTCTACATCTTAAACTAACACTTTTCCCTATCTTATGTGACAAGAGGTCTCTTTAGCGATTATTTTCTTGGCACTTAAAAAAAGCTATAAAACCACATGACTTATACCCTAGAGAATAAAATCAGCCTGTTGAACAACTTCCTGGAGAAATGCAAACTGTGCAGACGCTAATCTGCCCTCTTAAGGAGAAAGATGGCAAGGATCTCTCCTTTGTGAGTTTTTCTTTTTCTCCTTTTTGAGTGCTAACATAGAAACCAGTGCCTCTGGGACAGGCCACACACCCGACCCTGCACCCCTGCTTCTGGCAATCTCTGTTGTGTGGAGCAAGGCGATGGCTTCTGCCCCGAAGGTGAATGAGCCCGGCGAACTCTGTAGGTTCTCCTGCACAAGCAGGTGGACAGGGCCAGTGACTCAGGGGACAGCTCCCCGCTGCGCCCCTTGCCTAAGGGTTCTGCCAGTGCCAAGCGGCACTGGGAATTTTTCTTCTTCCCAGTGTTTAAAAGAACAACGCTTGGCTGTTGCTCTGAAAGACTGGATTTATTGTCTTTCGTGGTTTTAAAGGAACACAAAAACACTGCTAAGAGCCTCTGGCAGTTGAATATGGGAAGAAATCCAGGAGAGAAAACCATGCTGGCTGACAGTGGTTCTAACTAGGGCCTACTTATGAGGGCCATGATGCCTGGGGTGAAATGCATGCTGGGAAGCAGAGACAGGTACCACACACACATCTGGACCAGTGTGTGCCTGGGGGTGTTGCCAGGTAGAAGTGAGAGAGTAAAACCTCCCAGGCCTTCACACAAATGACCACTACAAAAAGAGATGGAATCCACATACATCCTCTTTCTCCCCAGCACAAATGAAGTCCAATAAGGCCCATTTTGCTTCAGACACTCTTTATGCATTTTTCTTGCGTCTTTCTGAAGAAACTATGGAAGTCTCCTTTCCCGAGTGTCCTTTGTTCTGCTCTGGGGTTGTCTCTGAAGTTCTGGACTGATTCGACATGGTCATTGTGACTTTGGGGAGGAGCAAAGAGTCGCATGGAGCTAGATCTGGTGAATAAGGTGGGGCACAGCATTGTGTTTTATGAGCTGCCTTTCTGGGGATGACACCTGGCAGCAGCACTCCCTATATTTTTGCTCACTCCTTGTAAAGACACTCAGGAAAGAAGACTTAAGGCCTGCTTCAGAAAATGGCAAGTCTGATGGGTAAAGGGTGTCCAATGTGAGGGGAGTGTTCCGAGGGGATTCATGGTGATGTGTCTTTTACTGTAATTAAAAAATCTGAAATACTCACTGCAGTTTTTTTTTTTTTTTTAGATTGGGTATGGGAGGGGGTACGGGAAATCGAACTCAGGACTTGCGCTTGTCAGGCAGGCACTGTGCCACTGAGGCCCATCCCTGGCTCCATTCACTGTGGTTCCAATCACTCATCGTTCGCTCATCTGAAAAAGTCTTCATCAAACTGTAGATGGTTCAGGAGAGGAATCTCTGGCATCTCAGATTTCATTCAGGTAGCGGGTCACTCAGCTTGGTGAAGGGAAATGAAGAAGCCATTGCTTGGCCGGAAGTAATTGGTTGATCATTTCACGATGGCTATTTCTGCAGGAAGAGGATGATGTGCGGGCATCCAGGTCCCGAAGGCCCAGCGTTCAGGTGGATGTGGGTGGCCATGTCAGATATTTCCAATACTTACACAATTCAGGAGTTTTTCTCTTAGAAGAGAAGTTGCTGATGCAAAGTCTCACGATGAAGAAACATCAGGATAAAGATTCTTACTTTGACTTGGACTACCTCTTGGAGAATAAATGTCTGTTTTAGGGTTAAGATTTATGTCCCAAGTGAAGGAAAAGGGATGCCTGGGAGATACTGGGGAAGGTGCTAAAGGATTGTAACAGCCTGGACCAAATCACCTTTCCTTACTTGTGTGTGCTCTGCCTTTAGCCTGAAGGCAGAAAGCAAGTCCAGCTTCTTAAGCCTGCCTGCACACTGGAGAGCTGGGGGACTTCAGAAATACTGGTGTTGTAGTGTTGGGCCTCCTCCAACAGCACTCCACTCCCAAAAGGCCTGGATCTGGAGTGCTGGCCCACTCCAGAATTACCAAATTGATGCAACTGGCTTGCAAAACTCCTGAAAATATAGCAATCATCCCTGAAGCTGTCAGGAGCTGGCTCCCATATGCTGCCCCTGACCCCGAGGAGATAGGGAGGCATTGCCCTATGGGGCTTTACTGGGCTCTACAGATTCCTCTAGAAGTTGCTCGGATGATTCTCGTGGGCTGCTACAGCTGAGGACCAGCAGCCTGAAGGGATGTGACAATGTAGCTATGATAGAACTGTCTCTGAGCGCCCCCTCCCGCCCCTCCCGCAGAAGGGGCATAGAAATAGGGCTGCTGGGCTGAGTCCATGTCTTCCTGGCTGCCCCACTGAGTGAGTGACTCAGTTTGCTGTCCCTCCATGTTACCTGTGCAATGGGATGGACTCACAGGGCTGCTCTGACACTCGGGAGTTATGACACCCAGAGCCCCTAGCATGAGCTGGGCTCACAGGAGGCACCGGGTAAATGCTGAGCCAGGATTCTCTGCCCTGGGTGCTCGAGGGGCTCATGGTCACATGGATGGCAGGGAAAGCGAGAGTGGGGTGTGATCAAAATCGCAGTCAGTGCTTATACTAAAACTGTCACTGGGGATACAGCCCAGAGGCGTAAGCGCCTGCCTGGCAAGTGCAAGTGCAAGGCCGAGTTCGAGTCTCAGTGCAAAAAACAAAACAACAAAACTTTATCACAGTGAAGACCCTCGCAGCTCTAAATCCCCTCAAAAGGCTCCTCCTTGCCTCAAGAGCACTGACCCCATGACTCTTGCCACTTTCTGAAGCAGCTCTGGATGACTCCTTCCTGAGTTCTTCACAAGGTGTAGTAAAAACCGTGATGAATGCTGCCACCTAAACCATCTGGCGCAAAGGTGGGCTCCTGCAAACATGATGCCCTGTCCTCATCCACCTCATTCACTGGACCTGGCCATATGCCTTCTGCCTCCTCCCCAAAGTCAAAATGACCACAAAGGTACTTTTGCATCGATTCAGGACACTGAAGCCGCCACAACACCACAATGGAAGACACTCAGGAGAGAGGACTCTAGAACTGGTCCAGAAAGTGGCAAAAAGGTGGGACAAGCAGGCTCCATGGGAGGGGGATTCATGGCAGTGTGCCTATTATTACTATGACACATTAAAAACAGAGAAACACTCGCCCTGTTTCTCGATTGGTTTTTCTGCCTGCTTTTGGGTGTGGAGTCACAGGGTGCTTGAGACCCTGGAGGATCTCGCTTGCTGTGCAGCTGACTGTACACAGCTGGCCTCACCTGCAGAAAAGGGAAACTCCAGGCCGACCCTCCTGGAGCCAGTGGGCTGCACTGCTACTGACCTGGCCTAGCAGGGGCCCTGATTTGACAGTCCTGCAATTCCACAGTGGATGGAGCCTGCATAAATGTCACACCGATGAACTTGATCCCAGCTGTCCTATTTAACAGCTGTCCTGCTTCTCGGTGGCACTGACCTACTTTGAGTAATTTGCACAAAATATCCTGGTCATCAAACCAACCTGCAGTTCACTTGGCCAAATCACCGTTTAGGAAATGTAACCACTTGGATGAAATTAGCAGGGATGAATGCTGCTAACGCTTCATTCCAGTCCTGCTCTTGATTGGTCTGCCTGCCTTTTAACAAAAGCAATAACACCCTCTTTCCCTCCCTGGGACAGTATTGGACACACAGGAGGAGGATCTGGCAGCCCTGCCTCATTCTTCACAGGTGTACACAATCGTGAAGGAACTAATAAAAGAGTAACAAGTATAATGAAACTTCCCAGTGTCCCCGCAGTGCCCTCTTGCATGAAAGCCTGTCAGCAGTGTCACTGTCAGTACGGAGAACTGTAATTACTGCCTCAGTAATTCTGACATTTCTGACTATTACGTTTGGTGTCTTGGTTAAGGCCAAAAGGATTCTTACCTTCCTGCTTGTTAACAGCTCCCAAATGCTCTCAATTATTCTTTAGCATTTAAAAATTTTTTTGTGCTAAGCAAGGGGAGTAGTGAGACTAGCATTGTGGGGTGAAAGGGTCTGAAGACAGTGAAGAGGAAAGAGGGGGACCTGAGAGGGACACGAGTTCAGGGCTGGCTTCAGGTGGCAGCTGTGTGTGATGGAACAGTGTCTCCCCACAAACGTGCTGGAAGGATGGGGAGGTTCGCACAGGCGACGCTGGAAAAATGGACTAATCCAGCTATCAGACCCCTAGAGGCAAAAGCCCCCTGCAGCAGAGGAAGTCAGTGTAGATGCTCCATGCGGTGAGAGCAAAAGTGGTCAGGAAAGGGAACCCTGGGGGAGCTTTCATTTCTTGACCTGCATTTTGGTTGTTGTTGCTGTTTTTCAGTGCATGCGGGAGGATTCTGGGGCTTGAACCCAGGGCCTCTGCACTGAACTACCTCCCCAGTCCTTTTTTAGCTTTTTTTTTGAGACAAGATGTGGCTAAATTGCCTGGCTGGGCTTGAACCTTAGATCCTTCTGCCTCAGCCTCCCAGAGAGCTGGGACTCCAGGCATGCCCAGCAGTGCTGGCTGTTATTTGGGCTTTAATGCTGGCCTACCCTAGGGATTCTTGACAAAGACCCACCCACTGGGAATGCCACCTGCTCCCGCTGGGGGCACCCACCCATGAGGCTGTTCTGGAGGTCTCCTGGCTGAGCAGGCAATCTGGGAGGGAGAGGAAAGCGCGTGAGTGACAGGGGCCGCAAAGCCACAGCAGAGATTTCCCAGGAGGCCTGGCCTGACAATAAAGTCAGCTCCAGGAAGGGGACAGAGCCAGGCTCAGCCTTTACCGTTGTGTTTCTGTAGGAAGCCGATGACCTTCTCCAGCACGGTGGTCTTGTCCATCTTGCGTGTGTTCCCGGGCAGCATGGAGCTGAGTTCTTTGATGAGCACATTGAACTGGTCCCGTCGCTTCTTCTCAGACTTGTTTCTCGAAGCTCTGGAAACACAGGTGCTTCGTTAAGGCTTTGTAAGGAAACAGGCGCTTTGTACCTGAGCTCTGCTACCGCAATCACCTTAGCAAAGGTTTTCAGGCACGGACATCAGCTGGGGGTCAGCGTGGAGCAGCGAGGGACCACACTTTGCCAAGCCTCCAGGCCCAGGGCTGACAGATGTGGCCCTGTGTGCCGCTGCTGCATGCTGAGAGGGGGGACAGGACTTTTTAAATGTGGAACAAATTGAAATGCTTATCAATAGGTGGAAAAGGCCAGACAGAAGAAGTCACGCTTCATTCCAACTATGTGGTGTGAGCAAAAAATACAGTTAATGTTTAATTAAAGATAACAAGATTTATTACATTGCTGTGAATCCCCTTAGACCCCTTCTCTGCACTAAGCCCCTGTTCCTGCCACTTTCTGAAGCAGCTCTGGGAGTACTCCTGCATCAGTATCTTTACCAGAGGTGAAGACAAACACAGAGATTGTCACTGTGTCACCCAATGGAAAGGCAGCCTTGTAAACACATGACAGTGTGTCCTGATACCTTATTCACTGGACCTGGCACCATGGGACTTCCGGCCCTTCCCCAGAGTCAAAATGATTGTGAAGCATAGCTATTTTAAATCAATTCACAACATCAAGGCAGCCACGACAGTGTGCAGAGCCTGGCTGTGTGTCCATGGGAGCATAGGATACACAGGCAGTCTCTGTAGGATCACTCGATTTTGCAGTGAGCTGTAAGTGCTGTAATAAAAGATGAAGTCTAGTTTTAAAAAATGTCATCCCACCTTTAGAAGAGATGAAAGTGAACTGGCTTGGTCTGAGGGATCCCTGGCCCGTCAGCTCCTCTGAGGAACCTCAGGATCCACAGGCACTGGGCAGGAGTCAGGGCTATACCCCAACCAAGCTGGACCCAGAGATGGAGGCAGTGCTGCTCACAGGCCGTGGCTCTCAGCGACACATCAACTCTCGTCAACCACCAGACTACTCTGAGGGATGGACCCAGGGCTGAAACAGGTTTCCCACCCCTCCTGAGTACACCTGAGATGGAGCCCAAGGGCATGGTCACCAGTCCCGCCCAAGGATCTGCCTCTCCTCCTGCTTCCTGCTCCCTTCCTGGCAGCTCTTGGGGTTGTGTTAAGGGATTTCTGCAAAGGCCTTGCTCTGTCACATCACAGGCTGGTGGCAGGTGTGGCACGGAGAAGCCGAGGCCCATACTGCTGGCTTAGGGTAAAAGGCACAACATTCAAACAGAAGAGAGAGAAGAAAGGAACCTTTCATTTTCTCAGCAACTGTCTATGCATTATAAATAATTTTTTGGCCTAGATTTTAAAGAGTGACATACAACCTCCTTAGCCAAAAAAAGCTCTGTTCCTGTCCTAGTTTGCCTATTATAAATTATTTGTGAGCTGATAACACCCAGCTCATTATTGCTCTGTTCTCTTCAATGGGTGCAGTGACAACCAACATGGCCTGGCAGAGAACCTGACAAAGCTCCTATCATTAGTGACAGAAACACAAGCTTGTTTCCATCAGCCTCCGCCTGGGATGTGCCGTAGAACCCGCTGGAAATCGGTCAGTGTCATTTGGATCCACAGCTCTGAGTTAAAGAAAGCCAAGAGCCTGGGCTGACCTTGTTTCAAGGTCTGCTCATGCCAAGCTGGGGGATAACAGGTTGAAAGGCGCTTAAACCACCAGGCTGTGGGAGTTTTTAAAGGGCATCAATTGTGTTCTGTAAAATTCAGCTGTCTTAAGGGCACAGTTTGGTGAATGCTGGTAAATACACAAATCCCACCAAAGCGTGATACGTATTTCCTTTCTTTAAAGGCTCTCTTCCTGCCTCTTGTTGATTCCCCCCAACTGCGGCTACCTAGTTTTGCCTTTTCTAGAATTTCACACAAATGGACTCATATGGTATGTAATCTTGGGCAATTTTTTCCACGTTTTTAAGATTCACCCATTTGTTGCACATGGAATGGCAGGCAGACCCAGAAACGACACTCAAGACTTAGAGGCCGGATAATCAATGTCGCTGGGGACTGATGGAGGTCATTCCTAAAATAGCAGGCCTTGATGTCTGGAGGTCTAGGACTTATATGGGACAAGCAAGCAGGAAGTACAGAGGCAGAATGGCTTGCCAACTGGGGATTGGTTCTTACAATAGGCATCACAGTGACCAATCGTTTCCAGGAGACAGAAGAAGCTGGAACAGGAGCTATTACCTGGGCAACTAAGAATCAGAAGTATACTGGCTGGGATGTGTGTGCATTTTCGGTTACACACATATTAACAGTTTGTTTGCTTTTCTGCTGACTAGCACACCATATGTGAATATGCTGCAGCTCTGGCGGTTTCTGGCCAGGGAGGATTAAGAATACTTCTAAGTCTCTGTGTAGGCATAGGTATTCCCTTCTCTGGGGTAAATACGGAGGCATGACATCACTGAGTCATGTGATCAGTGTACATTTGACGTAGGAGACACTACCACCCTGTCACACAAAGTTGGCTAGCTCTGGTTTTCATTTAGACAGACAACAAATGACATAATGTAACAATCCTTGTCAACATCTGGAACTGTTGTTCATGAATTAAACTTTAGCCACTGAAGTGTTATTTTTTTGGTATCAGGGATCGAACTCATGACCTCATGCTTACCAGGCAAGCGCTTGAGCGGCTGAGCTAAATCCCCAGCCTAAAGTGTTACGTTGTGGTGATTTGAAATTGCCTTTTTTCTGATGACCAGCAACACTGAACATCTTTTTGCATGGTTAATAACCATAGGGGCTGGGGATTTAGCTCAGCGGCATAAGTGCCTGCCTTGCAAGTGTGCAGTTGTGAGTTTGATCCCTGGTACCAAAAAAAAAAGCCATTTATATATCACCTTTTGTGAAGTGTATATGAGAATCTTCTGCCTATTTTTTAACTGGGGTTTTTGTCTTCTACTTGACTTTAAAAGAGAGAAAAAAAGGAAGAAAGGAAGACAGGAAGGAAGGAAGACAAGCATGTACGTGTCTTAAACATGTGCTTGTAAACCCCACGCTTGGATTTGTTTTTTGTCTCCATGAGACAGGATTTCTCTATGAAGTTCAGGCTAGCCTTGAACTCACTTTGTAGCTGAGGCTGTCCTTGAACTCAGAGAGATCCTCCCAGCTCAGCCTCCCGAGTGATGGGATTACACCTTGCGCTTGCCAGGCAAGGGCTTATGCTCCTGAGCTAAATCCCTGGCCAAATAGCAAGATTTTTAATTAGCTGGGTTTCTCCTAGTGTGATTAATCTAGAGTGTGCCACTTACTCCCACACCACCCTTTGATTTTTGAACACAAGGCTCAAACTTTGCTAAAGTGTCCACTGCTGGGGATCTTGGGAAGCTGATTCTAGTTGTGTGGGTACCATTTGTCGTACGCAATAAATATATGACACAGTTATAAACAGGAAAGCTGAGGGGGCCACTTCCTTCCCCTCATACAACTATAAACACAATGCTGCACTAGTAATTACCCACGTCTACGTCTAGGAGGTCATGATGCCCAAGTTGGCAGGTCATCCGTACCACTGAGTGACAGAATGGGGGTCAGCTGGAGTTAGAGGTGTTCGTCACAATGACAGCCACCTAGTTAGGATGCCCGAACCTTTAGATACTGGCATCCTGAACTGTGTTAGGTCTCACTGACGGTTGCTGTGGTTCCTTCTGCCCTTTTGCTTGTTCCTGCTGCTACAAGCTCCATCTTCAATAAACACAGCCACTCACTACAAGGTGTATGCTTGGCAAGTCTTTCCTCGTTGTGCACGAGAACCTGGACTATTTTTGGCCCATTCAACTGTTTATATATTTATATATATATATATAAATATATTATATATTATAATATAATATATATGTAATGTAAATATATATAAATATATGTGTGTGTTACTTTTATAATTGCAAAATTATAGTCACTATAATTTAAAAAAATCTGACACTACAAAATAAAAAATCTAAAACATTGTCATTTTTAGTAACTACTGTCCTAGCATACATTCTAATACTTTTCCTAATGTTTGGGGCTGCAAACTGATCCTTCACTTGTGATACTAATATTTTCTGTAGAAAGCAAGATTGTTTGTTTGGTACCGGGGATTGAACTCACAATCTTGCCCTTGCCAGGCAGGCACTTATGCCACTGAGCTAAATCCCCAGTCAAATAGCAGGATTGTTAAATTAGCTGGTTTCTTCTAGTGTGGGTAATCTAGATTGGTTTTTTAGGGCTGATATACAAGAGTTTCTCTCAGCTTAACAGCTCATTTCTTATGTTTTCTGTAGGGTGTGTCTGGCTCTGTGCATGTGCTCTTTGTAGCTCAGCAGCAAGCCCGGGGAGCACCTCTACCATTTTGCTCGTGCTAGCCCAGTAAAGCTTAGGCAAACTCTCAAGGGCCTCACCCTCACTTAAATACCTTCCCACTACAGCAATCCGGAGAATGTGGGTGAGGGGAGATTACTGTAAGCACGATGAACAGCACCTGACTTCCATCATTTTTAGGGGGTTGAAGATACGGTTGAAGTAGCCAGGCATGATGGCACACACCTGTAATTCCAGCACTCCGGAGGCTGAGGCAGGAGGATTATTATGAGTTTGAGACTAGCCCATGCTACAAAGTGAGTTCAAGTCCAGCCCAAACTGCATAGTGAGACCATGTCTAAAGACAAGAAAAGGCTGAAGAGCTTAATGAGCCATAAGTGGGCAGCTTCCCCAATGGGAGTCCAGGCAGAGACAGACCTACTGCTGAGAACTCCCACCCCTGTCTATGGTGACAGGACCCCACGATGGCCAGGATCCATGCCTGCAGTTCCCTGCTTTTATGAGGCTCCCTACTTCCTCAGCGAGGAACACATGCAGATATAGAAGGGGCATATCCAGCAAAAGTCCTGAAACCTCGGATTCAGATTTTCCTAGGCGATTTTGCCCCTGAACAAATATTTTTCTGATTTTTTCCCCAAGCACTTTTTATTTAAAATCTCTCCTTCTTTCTGTGTGTCATACCCCTACTCACAGTGCCATTAACCTCTGGAGACCCACACCAGAATCAGAATCGCAGCCGGTGGGACTCGGTGTGCATCTTTTATTTTATTAAAACATTCACCACAGTGCATTACAGCAGTGTCCATTTCCGCCTCCTTCCTGCGCTGCGATGGGAAGGCAAGAATTCTGTCCCCTCCTCTTCCAACCCTTCCCATACTGTAAATCTCATCGCGTGGAAGACGCTGATCACTGCTGAAAGGATGCCCAAATATTCCGCCTTCAAGTGTCCAAGTTCCTCTGAGTGCTTCACCAGACTTTTTCTTTTTTCTTTGTATTATGAACCAAGTAACTTTCTATCAGATGCAAGGGTCTAAAAGGAAGGAAATAACTGAAACGCGCGGTCATGAAGGAGCATGCACACCTTGCCTGCTGAGCCGGGGCGAACCCTGTGGCCCTGGGGCCCGTCCGCGTTCAGTCCCCTTGGCTGCCACCCTCACCATCATCCAGGTTGAGGCCGTCACACAGGCAGCTCTCCAGACCAGGCAGGTGGGACCCCAGGCTGCGCAGGCGGTTCAGGTGCGCACCCAGCTCTCCCAGCACGCGGGCCTGGGGCCGCAGGTAGCGGCGCTGCAGGATGCTTCCCAAGTGAGGGTCGCCCCGGGCAGCCACCAGCCCGTGCAGCTCCAGCAGGCTCTGGTGGAGCGTGTCCTCCAGGTGGAAGGCGCACTCCACGGCCTGGGCTCCGCCGCGCCAGTCATCGCTTTGAGGCCGCGCGATGTCGCTCAGGACCACACTGCCGCCGCGCTCGGTCTGCAGGAGCAGGAGCTGCTCGGCCAGCTGGCGCCAGCGGCGGGCGCGGCGCAGGAAGGCGCGCGCGAGGTGCGGCAGGGCCACGTCGGAGCGGTCGCAGTAGACAGCCATGGACAGGTAGACGTAGGCGGCGTAGAGCTGCAGCCGGGCCTGCACGTTCAGCGCAGCCTCGCACTCGGCGTGGAAGTTCTGGCGGACCGGCGGCGAGGCAGAGTCCATGGTGGCTCGGTCAGTGCGAACCTGGCCGGCGGCCCAGGAAGTAGTCAGCAGAGCTCTGGCCTCTGGCGGAGGCTGCGGCCAAGTGAGGCTGAGCTGAAGTGAGTCGGAAGCCAGGTATAAAAAGAAGGTTCCAGAAGTAGGCGGGGCCGGAAGTAGAAACTCCCGGAAGCAGGCGAGGCCGGTGACGGGCGCTCCAACAAGCAGGTGAGCAGAAAGTGATGCACAGGTGATTTCCCAAAGGGTCGTTGAGGAGTCTTGCTGTCTATGTTCCCAACGGATACAGGTCTGAGGTTTTCTTTTCTCATGCTGATTTTATTAGGACAAAGCTGGTCTTAACAGAATTAAGTTGGAAAGTATTTCCTTCTCTTTTAACTTTCTGGACAGCTGTGTATAGAATTAGTGGTTTTCTTTCCATTCTGACAATTTCTTTTAGTTGGCATATTTATACCATTTACATTTAATACATCTGTTAGGGCTTTGGAAGAATTCACCAATTTAGTAATCTGGGTTTGGAGATTTCCTGTTCAGGTATTTAATTCATTAGTTATAGGGCTCTCAGTGCTATTTACTTTATATTATGTGAAGTTGGTGGTTTATGGTATTTAAATAACTGGTCCATCTGACACAAGTTCTTGAATTTATGTGTATGCAACTGATCACAGCAGCTTTTATGGTCCTTTTAATGTCTGAGAGTTATGTTCCATTCTTGCTATTGGCAACTTTTTTGTCCATCTCTAAATAGGACTATCGAAGAATCATTTTCTTTCATTCATCAATTTTTAAAAATTTTCAGTCTTATTGATTTGTTACTATGTCTGCTATTTGAATTCGTATGCTTGCTGTGAGTTTATTTTGTTCTTGTTTTTAGTTTAAGGTGGAAGTTCAGTGACTGATTTGAAACCTTTTTTTCTAATTTGGGCATTTAATACTGTGGATTCCATCTAAATACTGCCTTAGTAGCAATCCACAAATTCTGAAATATATTTTTATTTTGATTTAGTTAAGAAATTTTGAAAATATTCCTTGAAGCTTTCTCTGTGGTCAAAGGATCACTTAAAAGTTTTTTGTTGAATTTCCAAGTTTTAGAGGATTTTTTTTTCCTGCTGTCTTCTTGCTTCTTATTCAGTTTTAGTTCATTTATATTTCCTTACATTTGTTTTATGAAACAACAATTGTTCTGTTTTGGTAAATGTTCAACAGGACTTGAAAATCTGTGTATTTTGATATTTTGGGGTGGCCTGTTCTATACATTGAGAGTCTGTTGGTTTTCAGATCTATATCCTTGCTGAATTTTGTTCTAGTTCTCCTAAGAGCTAAAGACCCATCTCACATTTCAGGTTGTGCACCATGTATTTTGAAGTCATTTTTAGGACTATAACCATGTAGAACTGTGTCTTGGTAAGTTGTTCTTTTGTCATTCTCTATTTCTACTCCCTGTACTTTGCTCTGTAGACTGTTTTATTTGATAGTAAGCCTTCCTTTTAATTACTATTTGTGTAGTAAACCATTTTCTATAGTGTACTCACTATGTAGTACAGGTTGGCTCTGAACTCACTATGTAGTCCAGGCTGTCCTCAAACTCACATTGATCTTCTTGCTTTAGCCTCCTGAGTGCTGGGATCCCAGGTGTGTGCCACTATGCCTGGCTATAGCTTCACTTTTAACCTACATCTGTTACCATATTTCAGAGAAATGTCTTGTAACAGCATGTATTTAGGACATTTAAAAAAATCCATTCTGACAATTTCTTTTAGTTGGCATATTTATGCCATTTACATTTAATATATTTGTATGTTTGGGCTTCAAGACTATCATTCTATAATTAACATTTGTTTATTATTTGTGTTTTGGTTGTTGTTCCTACTTCCCATTTTCTGTCCTCTTCTGGGTAATTTAAACATTGGTTTTACTTTTCATTTGATCTGCCTTTCCCCTTTGTCTATGTTCAGTATTATCTCCAGAGTTTACAATACATAAAACTTAAATTTCAGAGCCCACTTAAGAGTATTTTGCTATTTCTGTTATCTTTCCTTGGTGCCTCACATTCTAAATCTTCACTTTCCACTAAGGATATTCTCACTAGAGAAGAGTTCTGGGTTAACAGTTCTTTTCTTTTAACATTTAAAAAATACTGTGCCATCAGTAGAAGGTTTCTGTGGTTTCTGATGAGGAATTCACAGTACTGTTTAGACCATTCCCACCTAGCCAGTCCTCACCATGCCTGGTGGTCTCTGCTCAAATTTAGACCTAAAAGTCTACTCAAGGTCAAATCCATGCATACCTCACTTGTAGATGAGCTCAGGAGTTCACGATCAACTTCACAGGGACACTTTTTTCTTTTACGAGACCTTCCCCAAACCTCTGTTTCCCAAGGACTCTCTTTTAATCCTTTGGCCCAAAAGCTCTTTGTTTAGCCTGTTTTGCCTCATGCTTCCTGCATCTCTACCTTTATTTTGGGCTAAGCAGTGGGAAGATACAAAGAGAGGGGAAGAAAAGCAACAGAGTTTTATTGCCCTATTGGAACTGCAGCTCCTCAGATTGGAGAGACAGGTTACCCTCCACCAGCACCTCAGGTGCCACGTGGGGCCCCATCGCCACGGTCACTACTGGTGCTCTTGGTCTTAGAGGACTGCTTAAGGAGCACAAGGAAATGGAGAAAAGGACAAAATGCAGCATATTCAGGAGACCGTGTTCCCGTTCAACCAGCCAGTCCTGGAGGGCTTCTCATGGCCCTTTCTCTGCCCTTACAGGTGCTCATTTCTGGCTGCACTGAATCTAGGCCAGGGTGCACTGAAGGGCAATAGGTGATCAACTCACTGCTCTTTTAGTGGAGCTTCAAAATGTTACTTTTCAATCTGCTGCATGTTACTTAAGCTTCACAGACTTCAAAAAGCTATTCCCTGCATTCAGTCTAGATTTAAAAACACATTCAGTTTAGTGGACAGGCGGAAGCAGCTGACTCAATGTTTACCAAACCCAGAAATCCTCTGTCATGTTCCATACCCCTTTTAAGAGGGTTATAAAAGACCCTCTGGAATCAAAAGGTTCATAGGTTCTGCAAGCTTGGTAGCAAGAGCTGTGCAGAAGACCCTTCTTTGGGAAAGAATAGAAGGTAAGCAGGGCAGTAGTTACAAGGACATCTGGGGAGCACTTTTGGGAAATTTTTGCAGAATGAGGAGGATGACAAAAGTGTGTCACTCTGGTATGAGCATCATATGGAAGCAGCCACAATAAGCCTTCCCTGTGTTTGCCCAGCTTATAATAAACCCAGTGCTGGGAAGGCCAGTACTGAATCCTAGCCCTAAAGTTCCTTCTTTTAATCCTGGAATTGCCAAGTACCCAGATCTGTGTCTGCAATAGAGATGCCTGAGTTTCATTCCAGACTGGGAATTCTGGTGTATCTGACCTGGGTGACAGGGCCATATTAGAGGAGGAGGAACTGGTGAAGTGTAGATCTGAGCCTCTCTAAACCTGTGTTTTATAAACCCAGCCCAGTGAACCTGCTTTGCCCAGTCCAGGCCTAATCCTTCCTTTCTAGTCTTCACACCGCTTGCAGGGGACAGCGAGGCTGCAGAGGGAAGCTGAACTGAGCTGAAAAGTGCCAAACAGGCAGTGTTTGAAGAGGCGTCCATGGTGTACAATGCTCAGAGGGGTGAAATAGATTCGAAGCATGCTTTCTATCCAGACAGTGCTGTGCACAAAGGTGAGATTTCCTGGAGCATAAATTAAAGTGTGGTCAACCAGACGAACAAAGAGCATTCCTGGTAAAACTGGATAAAAATGTAGAAAAAGGGCAGATAGAAATTAAATCAAAATATTAAATTGGTGGCTATCTCCAGGTGGTGTGCTTATATATGATCTTTGCTTCTTTAAACATTTTGGGATTTTTCAAATGTTGCTTTGGCATTTTTTTATACACAAGAAAATGTTCAAAAATGATAAAGGAATAAAGGCAGTCTATCTGTTGTATGAGGCAGTGTAGGTCAGGGTTCTCTTGTGGAAAACCATTTAGAGAAAAGGGAAGGACCAGGACCAGACAAAGTTTTTGTTTTTGTTGTTGTTGTTCCAGACTGGAGGGGTCCCCTTCCCCATCCCCAGTACTGGGGATTGAATCCTGGGCCTTTGGGTTGATCAACATTTCCAGCCCTTTATTTTTTTTTTGAGGTAGAGTCCTGCTTAGTTGCTCAGGCTAGGCTTGAACTTCAGCATCCCAGAGTGCTGGAATGACAGGCCCGTACCTATCGCTGGGCCTGGCCCAGATAAGTTTTTAGTGGCAGGACTGCATACAGTGGAGTAGATTTACTTGTTTGGTAGTTGCAGTTTTAGCACGTTTAATGTAGTAAGGAGCCCTGGGACACTCTGAAAGGGAGCGCCAGTAGAGTCTGGTCCAGACTCGTCTTGTGGGGAGTGTTTCCTGGGATTAGCATTCCCCATATACATTCCCAGTGACTGGGACATAATGCAGGGGTCACCAAAGCTCAGCACAGTCCGCTTCTTGGCCAGGTCAGGGCTCTGGAGACACACAGGCAGCGGGGTTCAGGGGCACAACTGAGCTGGGGGCCTTCATCAGTTCCAAACATTGGGTGTCTGGGGAGAAAAGTCTCCCCACAGAGCAAGATGGATCAGGGTGGAGGCCCCCAAGCTGGCTGCAGAGACTTGGGAGTGTTTGGGGTGATCACCTGCAGCTGAGCCTGCTCTTTCCTCCTGAGAGGTAACAGGAGGAAATCTTTACTCTTAAGCACTGTTATCAGAAAATGTCTGGGTCTCAGTGGGAAGCTGGCCTCATTTCACAGTGACTTTTAGTTAATTATCACACAAGCAGCTTTTAACTGGAACAGGAGCCTTAGGAACTCGTCACCCAAATCCTAAAAGGAGTGTTTAGCCTTTTCTACAGAAAGGCAGCATGATGGACCTTGGATGGGCCCTTCCGCATTTACAGTTAGCAAACGGGCTTTTAGTCAAGTGCCTCTCATTTGAAATGCCCTCAGAGAGGTTCTGGTCTCTCTGAGCTGAGAAATCCCGAGTTCCTAAGCCTGCCAGGCACGTATTTCTCCTGGGACAGCAGATCCCAGCCTTGCAGCAGGCCCCAGCAGAGAGAACCTGGAAGCCCCAGTCAACGGAGCCCCGTTTCTACTCTCCCTGATGGCCCCAGAAAGGCTTGGCCTCCACCTGCAAGCTGGGGCCTCCTTTTCCCTTGGTTTTGAGGTCAGAGTCACTCATCTGGAAGTTACAGGGTGCTGCATGTCCTGTGACTTCCCTGGTCCTCCAGATGTCAGCTACTACCTTAATCACCAACCAAAGGAGCAACTCGGAAGCTACATTTCCTCCTGCTCTTTCCCCCATGCCCAGCCCACAGCAATGTACACACACCACACCCAATCCAGAGGCCAGGAATGAACCTCAGCAGAATCAGCACCACTGGATCCAGTGGGGACACTGAGCGCAGGGCACAGGGCTGACATGCGAGGCACCTCACAATCACACTTGGACCAGAAGTCCTCACCATGGAAGGTCACAGCTGGGCCTGCCCTTTCAGACCTAGAGAATTTACACCTGAGGTGCAAATGGCCAATAAATACATGAACAAAATGGCCAGCAGTGTGTCTAGCCACTACAGAAATGCAAATTAAAACAACACTGAGAAACTACCTTAAACTAGAGAGAAAGGCTATCACCAAGAAATCAAATAATAAGTGCTGAAGAGCTTCGGGGGCAAAGGAGCCCTTTTTCATTGTTGGTGGGAATGTGGACTAGTAAAACCACTATGAAAATCAGCATGGAGACTCCTCAAAAACCTAAAATAGGGAATCCCATTCCACCCAGCTATTCCCCTTCTAGACACTTTTCTAAAAGAGTGAAAGACATCAGATCACAGTGGTCCATGCACACCGTATTTATAGCAGCACAATTCATAATAGCTAAATCTTGCAAGCAGCCTGTATGTCCAAAAGCAGATAAACAGGTAAAGAAAATGTGGCATTTATGCATAATGGAGCTATCAAGCCATAAAGAAGAACAGATTTGAGTCATTTGTAAGAAAATGGAGACCATAATGTTACATGAAATAAGTCAAATATCAGAAGCTTAAATATCAAATGGCTTCTTTTATGCAAGAAACCCTAGGTGTAAATAAATGCAAGAGCAAAACCAAAGACAGCTAGTAGGAAATGGGGGGACAGATCTTTTGCAGATGGGAACAGGACCAAGAGATGAAGGGAGGGGAGAGGGAGAAGGGAAGGGAATGAGAAAAGACTTAAGATGTGTTGCGTGCGTTTACCAGCTCAGCTCGATGAATATAATCACTATGCACTCGAACTAATGATGGTAAAGAGGTGGTACAGCTGAAATGAGTTTGGTTCCTGGCCGGAACTCCGAGCAGGAGACTGAGGAGGAGGAGGAGCTCGTGCGTTTTGGTCCTGTCCTTGCTTTGCCTCACACAGCCTTGGCAGGGCTGTTTCCTCCTTTGCACTTGTTTTTGTGAATGGCTTCCTAACTTGCTAACATCAGAGGGCCTTAGTTGAGTCTTAGTTAACACACGCAGAGGGGCTGCGTTAGATGTTGATCCACATCAAACTACCCTGTCTCCTTCCCCTCCAGCCTGGGGGACCGGAAGAAACACCCTGCCTCCAGGTGGCGGACACTGTGCCTCTGGCCCTCTGGCTCTGTGGCAGGAACAGCTCTTATCCCAACTCCTGCCTAAACCATTTTATCCATGTTGAGACTAAGGATTGGGCTCAAAGATGAAAGCAGGCTTAACATGTTTCAGAACCAGCCTTTACTCCATTGAGGACACCAAGGATCAACTAACCTTGCCACACATCCTTGATTCTTATGCCAGAAACTCACGTCCCTCCCTCCACTACATGCACCGCTGTGGTAATAGGTTCCAGGAGAGAGCAGTCACAAAGTCCTTTAACACTCAGTCAAAGAAGCCAGCAAGCTGCAGCTTATTCTCAGCCAGGAGGAGCTTATTTGCACCAGGAAGCAGGGTCAGCTGACTTTGTAGACTGCAAACCTGTAGACACTCATCTTCTTTGGGAAGCAAGGGTTTCTGTCACTGCATACCATCCCTATCTTTGGTTGTTAGGAGCCCAGAATTGAAAATCTGCGCTCAGATCTGAAGCCCTGCCTGCCACTGACTGGTTGTGTGGTTCCTGAGCCTTGGGCTTCTTATCTGTAAATAATAATGGTAATGATAATAATGTCATAAATTTCGAGGGGTAGGACTGTAGGACTGGAGAGCCACCGTCAGCGTCCTGGAGCCTCAGCTGTTGTCGTCAGCTCCATGTACACTGCATGGTGCCCAGCGCTCACAGACAGCTGAACTGGATTCTTGCAGTAACACATGCGTGAAGCTGCCTCTGTCATCATCCCCATGTTACAAAAGAAGACACAGGCGAAGAGAGGTTTAGTGGCCTGTCCAAGAATAGGCAGTAACTCAGACGATCACTCAAGCCAAGTCTGTCTGAGTCTAGCAAAGCCTTCTCCCTTCCTGCTGTACTCCACCACTGCCTGGAAGGCAAACACATGCACACACCCCACCAACACTACATCACATCAGAATGACAGAGATGGGCTTACGACCAGAACACAAATTGGAGAACTGTGACCTTGTTACCCAGGGATCCCAAATATTTCTCAGCCAACCTGCTTCCCACTAGGGTACTGGGACCCCATTTTTGCATCTTCCCTGAAAGAAATAGCACACAGATGTGAACGCACAGCAGGCCCTGGATGATTGCTTGCTGGAATTACATAGAAACTCATGGGAGAACGTGGATCTGTGTGATCAGTCAGCCCAGATGCACCATGAGTTCCCTACAGCTCAAAAGCCTGGCCTCACATGAAGTATGTTTTCTGGAGGTGATGCAGGTTCTGATCTCAGCTGAGCATCTCTGATGTTATGAAGAACATGTGAGTGAAGACGAAGGCACAGTAGGGCCTCAAGTGGGACTGAGGTCCCATGTTGCTACTACAAAACCTGCCACGTAGAAGCTTTGCAGTGGGCAGAAGCTTGTGTTTGCTTTTTCTGAGTCATAGGAAGCGTTCTGTGTTGGTGCTGCCATTCTAGCAAGGAGCTTTAGAGATTAATGAAAACCCCAAGCCCACTGGCCAACTGAGGATAGAGGAGAGAGGGGAATGGTCTTTCTATACCAGCACCAGCCAGGGGATGATGTCCAGATGTCTTAGGTGGGGGCAGTGCTCCCAACCCTCCCCAAGGGTTCATGTGTTGGATGCTTAGTCCTCCATGGAGTGATGTGAAGGAGGGGGGCTTTTAAGAAGTGGAGCCTGGTGCGAAGTGGTGGCCAGGCCCAGCCCCTCTCTGGCTTCCTGGCCTGTGTTGTGATGGCTCTCATAGGTGCTCCCCCTCTGATACCATCTGCGATGAGATCCTCCCCAGAGCCGAGCCAGTGTTGGCCTCATGCCCTTGAATCTCTAGAAGGAGAGCCAAATAAATCTTTATAAAGGACCTGGCCTTGGGTGTTCTGTTCAATCAGTAGGCAGCTGACTGATACAGGGGATGTGCTTATGGCCCAAAGAAATTGGGGCTGAGAATGAGTGAAAAGAATCCACAGTAGTCTGCTTTTCATTAATGTGACAAGCACCTGATGTTAATCAATTTAAAGGGAGGAAAAGGCTCTTTTCAGCTCATAGTTTCAGAGGTTTCAGTCCATGGTCACTTGGCCCTGTTGCTTTGGGCCTGCGGCAGCCCAGGACATCATGGCAGGGTGCACGAGAGGAAGTTCATTCCTCTCGTTCCAGATGACTGGGAAGAAAGAGAGGGAGTAGGGTATGGGATTAGGGCCCTGTATCCTCTTCAAGAGCCACTCCCAGGGACCTCACTTCCCCTTACTAGGCCTCCTTGAAAACTTCTATCAGACAGGTCTTTGGGATCCCCCAGATCCAAACTGTAAACTGAATGTAATCTGGTTTATCCTAGGGCTTTTGGCCAAGGTGTTTCTGGCACACAGACAGGGTGAAGGCTGGAATGTGTGAGCACTGAATCATGCATCTTCTCTCTTCTTGACAGGACATGCAGAGGAGAGGCTAGGGCCATAGGAGCTTAGGAGGGATGCATTAAAGGGGACGATGGCAAAAACAAAACTCCCTTTGACTCCAAAGCCACATCAGAATGTTTCAGTCTGGGCCTGCCAGAGAGACTGAATTTGTTCTTATATGAGGAGAACCTTTTACAGTTTGAGCGGCAAGAGCAGAGCCTAAACTTTTTGTTGTTAGTGTTTGTTTTCTGAGACAGGGTCTCACTATGGAGGTCAGGCTGGCCTTGAACTCAGGGCAGTCCTCCTGCCTAAGCGTCCTGAACATAGGGATTATAGTGTGTGCTGGCAGGCCCAGGGATAGCACACGATTAAGGAGACCTGTTTAACTTCCCACCTGCCTCTCATGAGTCCTTTCTGATCTCTGACCAACTTCCCATATCACGGAGCCTTAGTGTCCTCATCTGTAAAATGAGACCAACATTGACATACACAGGAGGTCCTACATGTGGAGGAATGTGGCTCAGCATGGGGACACGCCTTAGGGCACACAGGAGCGGTTAGTGAATGCTGGCTACTGCCGCTTCACGTTATTGCTAATTAGAGCACCCTGCAAATGTATTACGGTGAAGCATTATTTTCCCATGTAGTATAATCACACATGGTGATTATTACTTAAAAACAGTTGCTTGGTGTATTTTTTTGGCTGATTCTCAAACCAGCCCTGCAGCAGGGAGGACAGATGTGACTGCCCTCCACTGCAGGTGAGGAGACAGAGCCTTAGACACAAGAAGCATTTAAAATTCACTGGCTCAACACTCTTGCATAGCTTCCTGCAGGAACCCCAGGGAGCCAGTGCATCCTGCAGAGGGTAGAGAAGCCTGTGTCTGTCCATCACTCGTGGAGGCCTCAACGGATCAAGCACCCTCTCAGGGTGTGACCTGCGGGTTTTGCAGTGCACTGCAGCAGGGAGCCAGGGTTTCTAGCAAGGGGACATCCGGAGCTGCAGAATAAGCTGGGGTGCCACTCACCTGGTTGTTTGTTTGAATTTTTACTGTGGGGCTTTCAAGTATATATTAAAAAAAGATCAGTTGAGAATAAAATAAGAAAAAAGTAGAAGTAAGTTCACAGTACTAGTCCTTCTCCCACGCCAGCCTGACTCCTAAACACTGCTGGGCAAAACCTCCACTTCCAGATAGTTTTTAAAGGAAATATTAGGGGAGTTTAAAATACCCTGGCTCCTTGACTGGTTGCAGATTAGAATCTTGGGAGGGAGGAAGACCTGCGTCCACCAGGCTTAGGATGACAGGAGCCTCCAGCTCTGGGCTGGCCTGTTGCCCTGCACACCACCAATCAGCGGCAGCTGCCTGGTCACTCCATTCTCCTGTGCGCTGCGCATGGGCAGAAAGCTTCTTGCCCAGAGTCCCCAGAGCCAAGCACAGGAGCTGCCTACTTTGGGGGATTGCTGGCAGTTGCGACATTCTTGACCTTCAGATGGTCAGTGTCATGATCCTCCCTTGCATCTAGTAGGTGTTCAGTAAATGTCTGGTGAGGGACTAGAAACAGACAGGGTTCTAAGACCACCACCATGGTAGTTACCAAGCGTGTATCTCTGGTTGACCCAACCATGGGCCAGAGACTGACTGACACCCCCAGTCCATGGTGCCAAGGAGAACTGAGCCCGTGAGCAGGAAAGTGCTCGGAGCTGAGCTGAGTGGTCAGCGTGTGCTCAGGTAGGGCTGGTAACAGTGACAGTCTGATCACTGTGCAAAGCCAGGGAGCCCAGTCCTGAAACAGTGTGTGCACCCGGCCCTGCAGGTGTACACAGGAACCAGGGCTGGGAGACCGGCAGCCAGACCGACCCGGAGGGCAGTGTGCAGTGGGCGGCATGGCTTCTGCTTACCTCTTGGCTCTATCTTTCTCATCTTCATCCATTAGATTTTCTATGCAGCTTTTCCTGCAAAACAAAACCAAACCCAGATGATTATGGTCTGCGTCTGGGTCTCTCTCACAGCTCTCTGGTCACCATCATTTTGTCCTAATTGACAACCTGTAGCCCCACGTTTCCGCAACTTCCTGGCCCCAACACCCCTTTGCACCCCTGAAAGTGTACCAAGCACCCCCAGGGACGTAGGTCCATGTTGGGAAACTTTCTGGTAGATACACAAGCATTCTAGCCTTAGGTGCCACTGCAGTGATGTCACCAGATGTCAAGCGGCTTCTGGAAGAGTCACCATGAGAGAAGGGGTTTTCATTGTGCTTTTTTTTTGTTGTTTTCGTTTTTTATCGGTACCAGGGATCAAACTCACGACTGCCTGCTTGCAAGGCAGGCGCTTATGCCACTGAGCTAAATCCCCAGCCCTTGTTGCCTGTTTTTTTAAACAAATAGTTCTCATGAAGAAGTGTTTTGCTCTTTGCTCACCTGGGCCCCGAGACACTTCAGAACACACTTGGAGGACCACGTGAGACTCAGCACAGTGAAGCAGCCTCCAGAAACCACGAGGTCAGCAGGTGCCTCCTGGTAGATTCTTGTGACCTGCCAGTGATGCTGCACCTGGCCACATTCATTCCCCTGGCAGGACGCCTGTCACTGTGACATCCTGAAGGACAGCGTATGTGCCCATCTTCCTATTAAAATACAGAAAGGCTCTGCCCTGCAGCTGGGAGAATCGCCCCAGGGGACTGTGACCCTCAGACTTCCCCTGGACACACTCACACTCCAGCTGGGGCACACCCAGCTATGTTCTCACTGCCCAAGTCCCTAGGGTCTCTACCATCTGGACTGCAGCTCTGGGACCCTCAGGACCAATGAATGACTGTTTCCCCTCCTGTCCCATGCAGCCCCTGGGTTGGGTCACCCCACAGGACATACCCCTGACTGCCACTTTCATTCATGTGATTCCCAGAGCCCCACCCGATTCACAGGCACACGAAGCAGAAACATTCCCAGATGTCATGAGGCCACAGCTTCAGGGCACTGAAGGCAGAAGGTGGCAGCAGTTGAGAGGCAGTGACTGAGCTGGATGGGGTGGGGACAGCAGAGAAGCTGTGTCACACTTGCTGTGTTTTCAACATAGAGTATTTGAAGCCATCTCTTCCAAAATGCGTGCATTCAAATGGACTGGTAAATGTGCTAGAAATGTAAAGTTTGAGTGTGCACACGTGTGCGTGGTGCTGGGCATGGAACCCAGGGCCTTGTGCACGTATGGTAAGTGCTCTGCCTTGGGCTGCTGTCCAGCCCTAGGTAAAAGGCCAGGGCGACAGTGTAGTCTGTGATGCTCACCACCCACGCGCACAGCACAGGAGGCTGTAGACATCGCCTCCGTTCACACTCGGACCCCTTCAGCATATGGCAGTGCACGGGGCAGCCTCACGAGGAACATGCCCAGTAGCTGTATCACAGTTACAGTGGTGTCTGGTGACATCACTGCTGTGGGGTTCACATCTGGAAGCAGACAAGTGCTTAATGTCATCTGGATGCAATCTGCTAGAGCTTATGACATGGAAAACGAGGTATCCATTCATCCAGTGACACTCCACCTGAATCCTGTCCTCTGAGGAAGTGATGGTGGGCCAAGCACCCAGGGCAGGGCTAGGAATCTCCCTTGAGCTCTGTCACTAGCAGCCCTGGACAGAGCCAGTTTACAGAGGGCTGGGTAGGCCAAGGTGCTAGGGTCCTGTTTGGATGACAGGGGTTGCTGAGTCACAGGCTAAACATGGAACAGTGGCTAACAGCTATTCTTTATCAACCCAGTCTTCTCTGATTTACATCTGTGTATCCTTAAACATTTCCTGAATCCATGAATCCTGGATGAGCTGTGCCCACTCCCTTTCTTCCTGGTCCCTCCCAGGCCTCTGCTCCATTCAGCATGCAGGAGCCCTGTCTAAGCCGTTTGGCTGAACTGGTTCTGTGGGAGGAGGAAGCATCTCAGCTCCCAGCAGCGCCTGCCACAGGTGGGCCATGCTGGCATCTTATTGTGTCCCCACCATGTCTTCCCCATGTAGTTTTATTTCACTTAAAAAAATTACAGTGGGGGTTGGGGATTTAGCTCAGCAGTGCAAGCAGCTGCCTGGCAAGTGTGAGGTTGTGAGTTCCGTCCCTGGTACAGAAAAAAAGAAAATTCCAGTGATGTACACATCATGAAATTCACTACTATGGCTATGCAACCATCCCAAGCACCCAGCCGTAGAGCTCCCTGCGTCTGGTAGAACTGAAATCTACCTCCACGAACTGTCAGCTCTCCATCCCCCACTCCCTTCACCCCTGGCCACTGCAGAGTCCCTCTCCACCACTGCGGCTCTGCCTGCTTTAGATGGCTCACGTGGGTGGCATTGCACAGCATTTGTCCCACTGCACCCGGCTCCTTTCACTTAGCACAGTGTCCCCGATGTTTATCCGAGGCTCATGGCTCGGAATGGCCTTCTGAGGGCTAAATATACTCCATCACATGCACAGGCCACATTTTGTTATCCTCTTGTCTCTCGAGGAACATGCAGGACTCCCGCTTTGTGGCACTGTGGACACGTAGGCCCACCCCTGTGTTTATTTTTGAGTCGCCCCCTTTAACTCATAATCTGTGGGAGCTGGAGGACAGTGGTGCTTCCACATGAAGCTGGGCTTACAAAGCCTGGTCCCTGGCAGCCACTCAAAACCGGGACCCTCACTGTTCTGATGGCAGGGTTAGCACACTGATTTCATGACTTTCGGCCCAGCTCCTCAGCCATAGCAGGTGCTCAGTAAACATACAGGCATGGAGACTGGAAGGAGGGGAGGGAGAAGCAGCCAAGGCCCAGCCTCTTTCTGAAACCCCATGGTTGCTTAACCTTCACTCCCACAAACTGCAGGGCAAGTGTGGCAGGTCCAGGCCCCGGCTCCTGTGCATCTATTCGATGGTACAATTATAGCCTTATGACTTCAGTTCCAGCAAAAACTCAGCAAGAGCTGGTGACCAGAGAGGGAAAGGCACCAAGATAGGGATGACGGCGGTGTCCAGTGGTTCCCTGTTCAGATGTTGGCCCCTGTCAAATTCTGAGCAGAAGAATTCTCATCTCATCTCCTCCTAGTTCTGCAGATTGAGTGCGGCTGGAGTCATCCTCCCTGAGCCATCTGCATGCACTGCCCCCAGTGGATGGTGCACAGCACTGCCCATGGATGTGGACTCGGGACCAGAGAACCAGACCCCACCTTGGCTCTTCTCCACCCACTGCCCACGGGACAGTGGGGCTTCCAAATTCAGAACTGCCCTGCCAGGCATTGTGGTACATGTCTATAATCCCAGAATTTGGGAGGCTGAGGCAGGAGGGTTGCCATGAGTTTGAGGCCAGCCTGGGCTCCATAGCAAGTTCAAGGCCAGGCTGAACTACATATTGAGACTTTGTCTCAAAAAAACAAAACAGCACAACAAATTCGGATCTGCTGTTTTAAAATTTTCACGCCAACCCACTTGGCCTGTGACACTGAGTCCCTTAGGCATAGTCTGTGTCTCTCCTTGCCAACATAAGACTGCCACACTGGGCAGGAGGTGTGTGTGCACTTCTGCAGCGCAGCCAGCCGAGGCGAGTCCCTCGCCCGCCTCTCCTGACTGTCCTGCATGCTGTGGTCCCCACGAGCTGACACCAGCCTCGTCCTTTCTCCTTGCCTGCCTTGAACTTTCATCTGTGCCATGCACTTTATTGTTTCAAAACCCTGGTGCATAATAAGGTGCATATGAATGGGCCTGGTGGGGCATTCTGACAGGTGTGCACTGAGTACTGATCAGGTCGGGGTAATTAGCACATCTGTCATCTCTCTTGTTTATCATATCTTCCTGGTAGGAACATTAAAAACCTCTCCTCTCGCTCTTGGAGCCACACAGTACTGTCAGTACAGTTGTCCCACCATGCAATACGACAGCAGAGTGTCATCCTCTTATCTTCTAATAACCGTGGGTCGGCCTTGGGAAGCCACCATTTCACTCTTGACTCCTATGGATTAACTGTTTCAGATTCCACACGCCAGTGACTGCATCTGGGTTATTTCACTTAACATCATCTCTCCAGGCCCTCGAAAGCAGACATGCAACAGGTCAACACGTGCAGGAGAGGTAAACGCTCACTCGGCAGCGCTGGTCATCAGGGAAACGCAAATCAAACCCACCTCCAGCTAGAATGGCTGTGATCAGAAGACAAAATGACAAACACTGGGTGAGGGTGTGAGGAAATGAGAACCCAGGCCCTGCTGCTGGGAATATAAGCCACTGCAGCCATTATGGAAAAGGGCACGGCGGTTCTTCAGGAAAATAAACACAGAACTACCCTGTGATCTGACAGTCTCACTCCTGAGTGTATAGCCACAGGGAGTGGGTTTGGTCTGTGAAGACACAGCTACACCTGCAGGTTTACAGAACTACTCACAGCAGCCAAGCTCTGAAGCCACCTAAATGTCAACCTGATGAGCAAAGGTGAGAAATGTGTTACATGCACAAATGGAATACTATTCAGCCATAAAAAGGATGTGATCCTATCTAAAGATGGACCTGCCTTGAATATCCATGAATGCATCCTGTGTGCAGAAGAGCTTGCCCTGGGTGAAGCAGACATGGACTCTGGGGGTCATGCAAACCTCAGGCGTGGCAGAAAGATGCATATGTACACACACACAGGCCAACATGACGTGTGGAAGGAGGGGAAGAGAATGAATATGGGTGGGGGTGCAGAGTGTTCATTGCACAGCAGGTCCTCAGTAAACACACTGACCTTAATGGGCCCGGAGGATGAGAGGAAGGCATGCTGATGACATTCACATGACCAAGTGAGACTGTCCCCTGAGAACCCCACACTTTCCCACAGCTACCAACTACACAGAGGGTTGGAGCATGGACTCTGAGGGGAAGGAGCCGTCCAGTGACAGCGTGACCGTCTCCTTATGCACCCTGGGACTCACAGGGATCCTGCAGCAAGACAGGAAACCAGTGAATC